CACAAAAAAAGAAAAATTGATGGTCCGTCCCTAACAACTCAGCTTTTGGTGATACTGTACATTTAACCAAAGAGGCCATAATCTCACTGCCTAGTGCGCAAGTCGAGTGGAGTTAATGCCTGGCGCGTAACAAACGGTATAAATTAAAATCAGCATATAAATATCATTAAAATTAATTAAACATGTAAGCCACCTGTTAACTGAGCTGGTGGTAAAACGGAATTGAAGTTGTCCAGCGTCAAACAAAACAAAACCACTCAATGCAAGAACATGGATACCTCAACATCAGCAGCCATTACCGATCGACTGTACTTGATCAACTTCTTCAACAAAATGAATCAGATGCGCGACTCTGAAGTCCTGTGTGACGTCGTGCTATTGACCGAGGAGGGAAGTACAAAATTTTATGCACACAGAAGTGTTTTGGCGGCTAGTAGTTCGTATTTCTACGGGCTTTACACAGGCACTTCCCTTTCCAGATACACAAGAGAAACAATTTTACGGGGGATCACAGATTCTATCCTTCGAGATGTTTTGGGCTACATTTATACTGCCAAAATCTTGCTCACTGAAGAAAACATTGAAGAGATTTTGTGTTCTTCCCATCAACTGGGCCTTGAATCTCTGAAACTGGAGTGCGAGCAATTTCTTATTCGTTATCTCTGCGTAAAAAACTGCGTCCAAATTACAGCTATGGCTCGAGTCTATTCTTGCGAAAAACTTATACACGAGGGCAAACGTTTTATGATAGAGAATTTCCTGGAAATTCAAAGTTCTGAAGAATTCTTCAAGATGCCGGAAGAGGAACTGGCCGAAATAATTGCAGATGATGACTTAAACGTGAAAAACGAAGAGCAAATTTTTAATTCAATTCGCGCGTGGGTAAACTATGATGTTATGTCAAGGCGTGACTCATTTTCCCAGTTGTTAAGTCACGTGCGACTGCCGTTCATATCACGAACGTTTTTACTTGGCACAATCGATAAAGATCCACTTGTGACGTCATCGTCGGCAAGTAGAGAGCTGATAGGCGAGGCCCTGACGTTCAAAATGGCAAGTCACAAGGAGAAAAAACTGCTTCAGAATGAAAGGACCAAGCGAAGGTAAGTATTTAA